GAGGAGGGAAGGAAGTGCCTCCCTCTGTGGCTGCTGCCCCGGGGACCAGCGAGAAGCAGCAAGGTCAGTCCCTGAAAGGGCAGCTGGGTGAGGACGAGATGGCACCCCAAGCCCCCGCAGTCCTGTTGGTAAGCGCCCAGGCTGCTGCAGCTGTGAGAGGCTGTGTGGTCCCCAGCCCTTCTCTGTCTTGGTTCACCACCTCTAGCTGCTGGAGCTCTCAGGCCCAGCCCAGAGGGACCGCGTTTATTCTGGGTATCCTTGGAAGGCCATGGAACAAAGGAAACTCGAATTGGCCAGCATCCCTACTTGGTTTGCCGGGGGAAAGGGTTTTGTTCCCCGTGCAGCGGCTGGGAGCTGCGTTTCCTCTCCGCTATACCTTGTCCTGCTAATTGCACGCTGGAATGATTTCCTGCATTTCCAAGGCTGTGTGTGTGGAAATGGCTTATATTTCCTGTTTTGATAAACTCCCAGGCTTACTGGGAACTCGTTCTGCATTTGGCACTCTTCTCAGCCAGGGCCTCCTTTTGGACTCACAGGATCGTTCTAGAAAGTCCTGCTTGCCTGGACTTGTGGTGGAAACAAAGACTGATATAGATTTCTTCCCCCTTTTCGCCTTAAAATATGAAAGAGGATTGCTTGGTAACAATGGGAAATCTGTACCTTTAATGTCGCATAGAATGGGTTATTCAGTGTCCCGCTGCAAGGGCGAGGTCGGGTCAGATGCCGGGGCCGCCTTGGGCTCGGGGATCTCTAAGATTTTGGCTGGAGGTGTATTGGCTGGGAAAGCCCTCCCAGGAAGAGAAGTGTCTCGGAACATGCGAGAAGACAGAATCCCCTTTGTGTCAGGACAGACCAAGTTTTGTTCTTGAATTTTCGTATCAATGTGATTCAGGCTTGTTTCTCATGTTCAGAACAGCAGCCCGCATGCTCGCTGCCCGTTAGGCAGAGGGGCAGCGTAGCCAGCTCAGCCTCGGGCACCAGCCAAGGGTCTGAGTTTAGTGTTTGAACTGTTGTCGCAACCTACTTCAAAATGTCCCAAATAGGAGTGCGAATCTGCCACCGGGAGAGAACCGGTCAGAGCCGTTTAATGGGCACTTGAAATGGGGCAGCTGCTGAGGAGCCCAGATCTTCCCCCAGAGCAGGGCTTGTGGCAAGGTGAGGGTGGACTGGCTTTGCACCCTGCCCCCACACAGCGCCCGCCGTCCACCCGTGGAGGCGATGCCAGCTGCCTTCTGCTCACAGAGCAGGGCTCCTGCAGAAGGGCCTGCAGACCGGATGCCTCAATCCCGCAGCTGCCACTGTCCATCTGTGCCCCGCTGCTTGCTGGACCCCATGGACGGTGACAGCACACGTATCTCTCCAGCGGCTCCAGGCAGGAAATCCTCCGCTTGGAGAGTCTGACCTGGAGCCTGGCTGTTCCTCCCCACGAGGCCCTGGTCTTTCCTCCTCTTGGGAGTCACCACCCTGGCCACTCCGTCGCATGTCTGGGACAAAGGTGCCCACACAGGCGGTTCACACCCACAAGTAACGACTCTGTGGCACACAGAGGAGATTCCCTGTGCAGGAGCGAGGCCAGGACCCCCTCCCTCAGCCTCCCTTGCACCTGTGCTGGAGTCAGCTGCATTCCAATGAGCATGACCACGAAGTTTCCCAGAGCAAACCCCTGTGCCCCTGCATTGCCAGCTGGCCCGCAGGCCATCCAGGCCCTTTCCAGGCCCAGCCATTTCTGATGGGTGCAGCAGGAAGAGCCCCCCAAAAGACCTGTGGGAGCCAGGCGAGGACGCTGCTCATCTCCAGTGCTGGCCCAGCCATCCAGAGCGCTGCTTCACGCACCCCCAGCAACCCCTTAGAGCTCGTGTGTGAAAGCAGGTGCCAGGCTCCGAATAAGCTGGCTCCTGAGCTCCATGCACCACACAGGAAAGTGGGGTCCTCCCCTCATGGGGGACAGGAAGTCTACAAGCCCCTGCTCAGTCCCTCATGGTCCCTCTGCTTCATCTCCACACCCAGAACCCTCCTCAGACCCAGCCCAAGCTGGAAGTCAGGCGCTTAGTGTGACGTGGACACGGGTCCCGAAGCATGCACATGGCTCCAGGTTGAGCCAGGACCGAGCATGGACCGGGGCCTGTCCTAGACCAGAAAATGACCATGACTGGAAGGAGGGGTGCAGCCAAGGTGGGCCATCCCCAGTGGCTTCGAATCTGCTGTCCCATGAGGCTCTCCTGGTTCCCTGGTGGTGCTGAGGGGAGTGTCTTGCTGTCCCAGGCCTGGGCCTGGGGGCCGGAAGTTTCTCTCTCTGACCACAGCAAGAGGAGGTCAGCCTAGAAGGGAGACAGCAGAGGAATACACTCCCTCAGGCCTGTTCTGCAGCCCCAGCCTCTTACCAGAACTCAGAGCCGGGAGGGGTGTGCAAGTGAAACCATGAGGCTGTGTGAGACTGTGTAACTGTGTGTGCATGAGACACAGCAAGGCTGTGAGACCGTGTGTGTGACTGTGTGAGTGAGACTGTGCAACTGTGTGTGTGTGTGACACTGTGAGGCTGTGACCGTGTGTGTGATTGTATGTGAATGAGACTGTGTAACTCTGTGTGTGTGTGATGCTGTGTAACTCTGTGTGTCTGTGTGTGTGACACTGTGAGGCTGTGTAACTGAGTGTGTATGTGACACTGTGAGGCTGTGACCGTGTGTGTGATTATATGTGAATGAGACTGTGTAACTGTATGTGTGTGTGTGTGTGTGTGACACTGTGAGGCTGTGTGTGTGTGTGAGGCTGTGTAACTGTGTGTGTGACACTGTGAGGCTGTGTGACTGTATTGTGAGGCTGTGTGACTGTGTGTCTTTGTGACACTGTGAGGCTGTGTGACTGTGTGAATGAGGCTGTGTCGCTGTGTGTGACACTGTGAGGCTGTGTGACTGTATTGTGAGGCTGTGTAACTATGTGTCTGTGTGTGACACTGTGAGGCTGTGTGACTGTGTGAATGAGGCTGTGTCGCTGTGTGTGTGACACTGTGAGGCTGTGTGACTGTGTGTGACTGAATGTGGCTGTGTGTGTGTGTGACACTGTGAGAATTTGTGACTGTGTGTGAGACTATGTAACTCTGTGTGTGTGTGTGTGTGTGAGACACTGTGAGGCTGTGTGACTGTGTGAGACTATGTAACTGTGTGTGTGTGTGTGTGACACTGTGAGGCTGTGTGATTGTGTGAATGAGACTGTGTAACTGTATGTGTGTGTGTGTGTGTATGTGAGGCTGTGTAACTGTGTGTGTGTGACACTGTGAGGCTGTGTGACTGTATTGTGAGGCTGTGTAACTGTGTGTCTGTGTGTGTGACACTGTGAGGCTGTGTGACTGTGTCTGTGTGTGTGACACTGTGAGGCTGTGTGACTGCATGTGACTGTGTGTGAGTATATGTGTGAAACTGCATGATTGTGTGTGTGATTACGTGATTGTGAGACTATGTGAGTGTACATATGTGTGACTGTGTGTCAGTGCAGTTAACCTGGTCTCCATATGCACATGCCTGGAGCACCGGATCATGTCCGATGTTCCCCACTGTATACTGGAGTCCACACGACGCACAGCCCAGAGTGAGCCCTCAGTGACAACATGTGAGGTGGTGGGTGAGGAATTCCCCCTGTGGGTCCCAGGGTGCGCAGTGGGCTGAACCATGCGTCCCAGGCAATGGGGCACACCTGTCAGCTCCTGCAGGGCCCTGGGCCACCTGGGTCCTGAGCTTGTCCAGCTCAGCTGAACGGGTGCGGCACCCTCCGACAGTGAGGTTTGCAGGCGCCCCCGGTCCTGGGGGTGTGGTCTCCTGGCATTCGCACAGTGAGAAGGCCAGCGGTCAGGCAGGACTGAATGTCCCCTCCACCTTAAGGAACTTCCACAGGCAGAACTGCTGCCCCTCCGACCCACAGCTCTGTGTCCAATGGGAATGTAAAACTGAGCCAGTCCTGAGATGCCTGCCCCCCACCGCCTCCGGCACACCTGTGCCCGGGGACAGAGTGAGAGTGGGCAGACTCGGGCAGGAGCTAGGCGGGGAGCCATTGGAGGGTCAGGGCTCAGGGCTTGTCCTGTGCTGCCGGGTGGCGCTTTGACATGTTTCTGGCTGGGGTGCAGATGATGGCCCTGCTTGGCTAGGAGGCGACCTTGCGGCCAGAATGCAGCGAGTCCCCCGAGCCTGGAGTCCCGTTAGATCAGCGAGGCCATCTCGCCTGGTAATTTGCCTGAGCAGCTCATTTGGCGGTTGCTGTGGGAACAGGCCTCAGCAGGTGAACACACAGTGCACTTTGCTCCCACATTCCCCAAGGAGTGAATTGTGGGGTGAGTGGGTATCGTCCACCAGGGCACCTGTTCCCGTCCCGGTCCAGCGTGAAACAGGTGTGACCACAGCAGCCCGTGTAGGTTGGGGCTATGAACAAAGCATGAAACCAGCAACCTATGGGGAGCCAGGCATGCTCGTGCCAAGGGCCCGTTGGAGGTAGACAATGACGTCACAAACCTATGGCCTGGAAGGAGCTGGACTGTGGCCCTGGCTCCCAGTACCAGCCCAGTCCAGCCCCAGCCCCTGGCTGCTGGCTCGCGCCTCCCTCTCACGTCTTCTGCAGGTGCCTCCCGCCTCTCTGCGGGGATGAGGAGCTGCTGCCTGTACCCCACAGCCCAGATGCATGGGGAGGTTCTGGTGCGCTCTGTCTGCACCCTTCACTGCACGCCTGGGCTCAGGGACTGTCTGCACTTCGGGGCCTGGAGACCAGCTTGGCACCTGGCTCTTAGTAGACTGTTGACCACCCCCGAATGGGCAGCACCAGCAGCTGGCCCTGGGGTTCTTTCATGGGAAGTCTCTCTAACTTGTGCTGACTGTTGCCGTTAACCTGAACCACCTTCAAAATCTGCCTGTGGTTTTTCTGTGGCAAGTCTTTAATACGTTGTCAGTGACAGCATGGTAGAAACCCTCAGCAGGTAACAGCACGCTAAGTAACCTCTCTGCTTTATGTTGTTTCTGCAGAACAAGAAACTGGATGTCCCGTGTGGCGGGCGAGACTGCAGCGGCGGCTGCCAGTGCTACCCCGAGAAAGGAGGCCGGGTGAGTCGCCACCAAGTGGTGCCTTGCACATGCGTGCTCTTCTTGGCAGTCATGCCATGGATACCAGATGAGTCGGCTGCAGACTTTGCTAGGGTGTCTGGTCCTGGCTCCTGCTGGAGTCAGGCCAGTGTGAGCCACTGTCCCACAGGCTGAGCTCGGGCCAGATGCTCATAGCATCTCTCCTTTTGCTCCTGTGGCATGTCTGTGAGCAATCAGTCCTCCAGGACCCCCGGAGACACCAAACTTATGGTGCCCAAGTGCCCTATATCCAACACCTCTGGTACAGTGTTGCCTGAACCTGTCTGTGCACCATCTGTACCTGTAACGCCCGCTGCAGCGTTGATGGCTCGTAGGCTGTGTCAGGTACATTCAGTACCAGTGCAGTATTTTCACAAGTCTGTTCAGCCTGGTTTGGTTGAATCCCCAGAGACAGAGAACCTGTGTGTGTCTGCATGTGTGTGAACAAATTCGATGCAAATGTCCACCTTTGTGCTGTATGTCAGTGCTGCTGTGGAGGGGAGCAGGCTGTAGAGCTCCAGCAGGTGTGTCACTGGAGCCATTCTGGCTTTCAGACCACCTGTTGTGTAGTTGATAAGAACAACAGATGCTGTGAAAGCAGCCCCTGGCGGACTCTGCTCTGAGCACCACGTGTCCACTGCCATTGCCCTGCCCTCTGGCCATCTGCAAGCCCTTTCGTCAACTCTGTATGCTGAGCAGTGTTGTCTGTGCCGGTGACGTGTGCCAGCCCTCCTGCCTCTGGCTCCTTGAGCCCGCACTAGTCTGTGCTTTGTTTACGACAGCCTGGAGTTGTGAATCTATTGCCTTGTTGGTGGTGGCACCAACAGGTACCAGGAAGTGACCCTGGAGCTGGGCTGTGATGTCAGTGCCTGTTCTGTGTAGTCAGACAGGTGACACCTGCAGGGGAGAGGGACTCATGAGGGGCGGGAGTGGTCCTACTTGTAATGTGTCCCAGAGCCCAGCTCCCTTCCCAAGAGCCATGCGCTGTGTCCTTCCCCAGGGCAGTGTTTGGTTTAAGTACTGCTTCCGCGCCTAGAGTAGGCCAGCTGAGCTCTGGGGACTGCTGGTGGGCGGTCATCTGTCAGCTGTAACGAGCATAAATATTTTCTTTGAATCTATGGAAGCCGTTCCGGAAGGTTGAGTCCCCCCGGGTCCCTTGCTATGGATTTTCCCAGCAGCGCCCCCGCAGCTGCGGTGAAGACGGCCGAGTCTGGGCTGGCCGAGTGCTTGACTGGCTCAGCCTTATATAGGCACGGAGGAGATAAATTAGTGGTGTGCAAATATCTGTGCGCCCAGCCTGTGCCAAATGGAGTCAGGCCGAAGGGCCTGCATTGTTCTCTGTGTAATCAGCCACGCAGAACCCAAACACCCTCAGCAGAAGGCCACCAGCTCTGGTCTCTCTCACTTGCCCTGATTAGCTCAGGCAGAGCCTGCATATTGAAGTGTTCTGTTAGGTCTGCACAAGAATTCTGTCCCGAAGTCAGGAGATGGTTCTGAGAGCTCTACCTATGCTGCCAGCTGCATGGCTTGGCGTCGCCAAAGGCCCCTGGTTCCCTGTAATGTTAGTGTAACACAAGACTTCGTTCATTCCCAGCCAAGGAAACCCCCTGTGCTTGCTTCTGTACATTGCCAGGTGAAAACCTGACACCTTTCAGTTGATTGGAGAATCTCAGCATGGCCTTGTGTGGTCACGGACCAACCCGAATCAGCATCTCCAGTGTGGGTCTCGGGTGGCGCCTCGCTGGCCCTGTGTGCCCCCTCCTGCGTTCCTCAGGACCCCTGCTGCAGTGGAACTGCACAGAACTCATGCTTGGGCTCTGGGGACTGTCCGCTGGTGAGGCTGCTTGGGGTTCTCCAGTGTGGCCTCGCACACAGATCAGTAAGACAGTAGCAATGGCTGTTGGCAAAGGTAAGGTAGAGCCTCGATGGAGCTGGCTTCAGGCGTGCCCACGTCCTCCCAGCTGGGGTCAACAGGTGTCAGCTGGTGGCCATTTCACCGAAGGTCGCTTCACACTCAGCGTCTCTAACTCCGCGGGCCTGGTGCCTGTGAACTGTGCCCAGGGAGCAGATTTGTCCAAATGAGCTTGCACAGAGCAGAGCTGTTTTTACACTCCTTTTGGCTAGGGTCTTTTTTTTTTGTTTTAAGTAACACGATACATAAAAATAGCAGTTGGGTTGAATTTGCCGCTCCAGAGCTGCGTGCCTAGCTTGTTCTTTCCCACAGCTTCCCCTGGGGTCCGTGGCCCTGTGTTTTCCCTGCAGTGCTACTGTAGCCGCCACGAGGAACGCCTGCTGCAGCTCTCCACCCACGGTGCTTGGCTGACACGGCCTTATATGGCCATGGTCCCCCGGCTCATTTGTTCCTCACCATGGAGACAGCCAACACCAGAAACCGGGCATTGCTGGGTGACTTTTAGACTCGAAATGGAAATCTGCGCTGCCCCACGGAGCTGGAGTCCATGCGTATCTCTTTCCCCATCTCTGTGGGCTTTGCAGGGGCAGCTGCATACAACCCCGGCAGGCCACAGAGTGGACCCCACCACAAGTCGGGGCAGGCAGGTGGTGGTCTGGCAGGCTGCAGTCAGAGTGGGCAGGGAGGGGCAGGGGCATCTAGCCATGTGCCTGGGCCGCTGCCACACCGAGGAGTCTGGCCTGCTGGAGCCTCATGCCCGGGCTGGGCAGGGCCTGAATGGAGCCGAAGCGGTTGGGTCTCCCTGCTAAGTGAGCTCTCATGCCCACTGTGCCCTTCACGCACACACAGACCTGTGGTCGGTGGAGCGTAGACGCGTGGGCTGGGGTGGGAAGAGGTTTTGCTCCCTTCTTTCAGCAATTGAGATGTCCAGCTGTCTCTGAAGTTGTTCAGAGACCTCTAAAGTAAGCTAGCAAGTGCTTCAAGTCTTCCGAGCAGCCTGGGTGGGTGTCTGTTTTCAGCCACTTGCTTTCCAGTGTGCTACAGCCATTCCAGGCTCCTGAGCCCAGTTCCCAGCACTGCACAGGACTGCATACCAAGGGGAAAGAGCCACTAGACTTGCCCAAGCCCCACCCTCAGCCTTCCCCTGAGGAGACCCCTCGGTCAACACCTGGGGTCTTCCTCACCCCTCTTCCTCTCTGGCCCGCTGTGGAGGTGAAAGGTCACCACAGGAGACCCGCAGTTCAGAGGTAGTGCAGCCAGAGCTCCAGCCCACATGGTCCATGGGGATGTAGCCACTTGGGTGGTGCCCCGGGCAGTGCGGCCAACAGCCCTGGGCAGCTCCTCCCCTGGGCAGTGCGGCCAGCAGCCCTGGGCGGCTCCTCCCCTGGGCAGTGCGGCCAGCAGCCCTGGGCGGCTCCTCCCCTGGGCAGTGAGGCCAGCAGCCCTGGGCCAGGCAGTGCAGCCAGCAGCCCTGGGCAGCTCCCCCAGGCAGTGCGGCCAGCAGCCCTGGGCAGCTCCTCCCCTGGGCAGTGAGGCCAGCAGCCCTGGGCAGTGGCTCCTCCCCCGGGCAGTGCGGCCAGCAGCCTGGCGTGGTAGCTAAAGACATTTCACAGTGCTCAGTCCTGCTGTAGCCAGCTGCTTTTCCAAACCTGTGGTTTTACAGGGGCCTCAAGATGTTGGGAGAAAACCCATGGTTAGTTTTCTCATATTATGCATTCTTCCTGAGATGTTTGAAGACCCCACATATTTATCCAAACGAATATTAAAAGAAAACTATTTGAAAAGTAGAACAAGAGAGGGACATTCACACACACATACATACACACACAATCTCCACAAATGGCTACAACACCAGGGCTGCGCCAGGCCAGAGCCAGGAGCCAGGAGCTCCTTCAGGGTCTCCCACACGGCCTGAGTGCTCGGCCCATTGACTACTGCCTCCCAGACATGTTAGCGGGCAAGCTGGTACAGAATCAGGGTGGCAGGACCCCGTGTGGGTTGCGGACAAGGAACCACTGAACTCCCAAGGTGATTCCTGTTAATGTGGCTCAGCCACATGACACACCAGCTCCCCATTCAGACTCCAACACAGCCTGGAAATAGCCAAGAACAAGCAGAAGCGCTGCCTGGCTTCGGGCCTGCCATCACCCTTGTCTGCACAGAACTTTAACCCACTTGCAAAACTGTGGAGCTATTCTGGGGAGGCCTTGGAGCCAGGGTGCCCTGTACCCGCAGGGCGTGGCAGCCCAGCAGCCCGCTTGCCCCACCATGTTCTGGGAGACAAGGTTGCGGCAGATTTGGGCAGCGGCCACATGCTCTGGCAGTGGCCTTGACTTTCACACCTGCCACCACCCCACTCGCTGCTCTCCACGCCAAAGGCCAAGTGCAGCAGGCAGGGGGAGGGGGCCAGGGGGTGTCCAGTCTGCCCCAAGGGCCGGGGTGCTGGAGGGAGGCAGAGGGGTGGTGAAGGTTGTATAACCTGAGACCCTCCTCCCACCCAAGCCAGGGCAGGGCCCACTCCCCAGGGGGCTTCCTGTTTATGTCTGTTGGTTTGAGAGGAAGAGGGACAGATCTCACAGCAGCTCCCTGCAGCCATGAGCCCAGACCTGGCTCTGCATCCCCCATGGGGGTGGCAGGGACATAAGCAGCCTCCTCAGGTGCACAGCAGCAGGAAGCCAGCATTGGAAGTGGAGACAGGACTCAAATCCACACTCTGAAATGGGATGCGGCGTCCCAGGCAGCCATGTCCAGCTTAGGAAATGTCAGAAAAGCCATTGACTCGGAACCCTCTGACGGGGAGCTGCTCAAAGAGTGAGCTTTTCTCTTTAAAAAAAAGAAAAAGATTTATTTCCTTATTTGAAAGGCAGAGTTACAGAGAAAGAGGGAGAGACACAGAGAGGTGTTCCACCTGCTTGTTCACTCCCCAGATGCTTGCAATGGCCAGGACTGGGCCAGGAGCCTAGACTCCATCAGATGTCCATGTGGGTACAGAGGCCCAAGCACTTGGGCCATTCTCTGCTGCTTTCCCAGGTGTGTTAGCAGGGAGTTGATTCGGAAGTAGAGCAGCCAG